GGCCTTGTTGTTAGTTTATATAACTTTTAAATCACATGTTATTCAGAAGTTGCTATTGTTTGATTTGTCATTATTATTATTTTACAAATACTACTCAACTGCCTAAGTACTCGGAATGAAAAGTTTCTTACGTTTAAAAACAGTCTTGTCTGCAATTTCTTGTAATTCATATTTGAAATACTGATAAGTGTTCTAATCGTCTTAAAAATAATTGGATGAACTATGTGAAAGAAGATATGCGAAAGAAGGCTGTAAATTCAGAGATGATGTATGAGAGGCCTGAATGGAAAAAGAGGACATGCTGCGCCGATCCCGCGTGGTGGGATAAGGATAAAAAGAAGAAGATTTGAAATAGTAAAAAGTGGTTATTTCTTAACTCACGTTTCTTTTTAGATTAAACTAGCTGACCCGGCAGACTTCGTAGTGCCTCAATCTATAAATAAAAGACCTAAGCTTTTGTATAAAATAAACTTAAAACAAACAAAAGGAATCCGTCCGACAGGGAACACATCAAGGGAAAAACAAAATTGTAATTTTTTATTTAATTCCGAGCATTTTCATATTTATCTACCTTTTAAACTTTCTCTGGACTTCCACAAATAATTCAAGACCAAAATTAGCCAAATCGGTCCAGCCGTTCTCGAATTTTAGCGAGACTAACGAAGAGCAATTCATTTTTATATATAGAGATAATGTAAATGTACTAAAATCAAGCCTAACTTATTAGCGTAATGGGCCTTTAGAAAAAAAAGATTAACCTAAATCGTGCTAGAAAGAATTAGATATTTCTCGTCTAAACAAAAAATGAACAGACTGATAATTTGATATAAATGGACACCTAAAAACTAAATCCCATTTCGCATTTCACATTCTAATTCGCATTTCACAAGGCTCTCGTGCGTAATCATTGTACTTCTGCCCACAACCCAATTTTCGGTTTCCTTTATTGAACACTAGCAACGAATCCCACTAAAAACAACGGTAAAGCTACAAGGTGTATTCTAACAAAACGCGAAATATCATTATTGAAAAGCGGTTCAACCTTTTGGCCTAGAAGCGCCATTGAAATTTGACACATGTCATCCGTGACATAGTTGACGTTTCACCTTGTAGGTACAAGTGAATTTGTAGTCGGAATCGTGAGTGAATCACAACGTATCACGTTTGTCAAATTAGGAAATTGAATTATCCTTCATAGTGTTACTCTTATAATACTGTTAAAGTATGTGCAAACGATTAGAAAAGTTTACAAATTAAATAAAGGTAAAATTTGACAATTGGCTCGATAATCGAGTTGTTGAGTAGTCCGTATTTTGTTTGAAACTTAATTTGTCCTTCGTCAGAGAGAAAGACAACGAAAAATATCCACACCGCCTTATTTTTCGTGATATGACATTAACGGGGGTTGAGAAGATGAGATTGTATCATTTGTAATAAAAATAATTTTAATATTGTTATTAAAAATGGAGAAATTATTAAAAAGTCATTATTTTTAAACAGTCAATAAGTTCCAGTTATTTATTTATTTATGTACACACAAAAAAGAAGACATAGTACAGAGTAATAGGAAAATTGTGTACAAAGGCACTCCATGTTACAACAAAAATTGGTCCACTATAATTCGTTTAAGATGCAATTTCTTCGTTGTCTGCCTGTTGTCATTTACCATCAGGTCAACGTATTGTTATGTCAATGGGGTAACTTAATTTGTCTTATCAATAATCCTTTAACTAACTACTGAAAGACATTAAGAATCAAGAACTGTAGTGCTTTTTAACTCGCTTTTATTAGCTTGACTATATTACGTACCTACCTTACCTGTACATATTTATCTGTTTAACGAAATCTTTCAACGTATTTTGTACCAAGTTCATGACATAGGATTAAGTAGCTTTAAAATTTGTCCACGTATCAAGGACAATGATTTTCCAACCAGGACAAGATCTAATGACACTAATAATATATTATCACTATTATTACAATCGTATTAAACGATTGGTAATACGATAAAATATCATTTTTATTAAATAAAATTTTAACATATTTTTAAAAACTCTAAGAGTAAATAATGTAGGTAACCATGAAAATTTGAAATGATAGATAAAGGTATTTGTTTTGCTTTTACATTTGGTGGTTATGTGCATGTTTTTTTTTTATCATGTCGAACCAATTGGAATAAGAGAAGGTCAATGCTATTCTGAAATTACTTGGGGTTCACTTACATTCGTTCCATTTCATCGTACCCATCCAATACCATTTTCAGCTCCGTTCGTCGGCCGTATCTACTGATGTGCTTTAGTGTTTGTTATCAAAAAAAAAGTAAGAAATAAGTCAGTTACTTCTTTAAAATCTATATATTAATACGTGAAGCAAAAACTTTGTATCCCTTTTTACGAAATTTTCGCGGACGGAGGAGTATGAAATTTTCCACACTTATAGAGAATACAGAGAAGAAGTGCACAATGCTAATTTTTTTTAAAATACATAATGCATAAAAGATACGTTAAATCAATAAAGAAAACATTACACACACTACATACCATTCAAATGTATTTGACGCACACACGCATGCATACTATTTATTGTCAAACTTTTGTTCTTGACGTCTGTTGTCAAATTGAGAATAGATTAAATATTGTTTGTCTTTGTTAATATTTTTATAGTGTAGTCTTGGCGAAATTTGTGATTATAGAAGTATAAAATACAATCATAATAGTGTACAAACTTACAATTCCAATTAATTATAGTCGAATCTCGACTACTGCGGGGCCACTAGTTTAAATAAAAACAAAAGATATGTTTTCTATAAATTGAAACGAGATATTGGTATGTCAATTTTCAATCATAAGGCGAACGCGAATATAGTATTTAATATTGTTGTTTTAAATACCATCGAATTTATGTATATACGGTTTTCCTTCCTTCCAAATATAGCCGGAATTTTATTTTACCTGTCATCAGTACATCCCTATCGCTCCCTCGTACTCCTATCCAATGGTGGTACGGCATGTTGTGAGCCTGCTCGGGTAGATACCACCCTGCTTTTTTCGGCCGTGAAGCAGTAATACTTTTCGGTTTGAAGAGTGGAGCAGTTGCACTATAAAACTGAGACTTAGAACTAATGTCTCAAGGTGGGTGGCGGCATTTACGCTGTTGATATTTATGGGCTCTGGTAACTATTTAACACAAATTAGGCTGTGAGCACGTGCACTCATCTAAGCAATAAAGTAAGCTATAAAAAAATTCATTGGCTCATTACCACCATCAGAATAGCGCAGTCATTATCATACCACATACATATATATTTATTGTATGTATGCATTTTCTTTAACAATGTATTCTTAATAGTATACCGCAACATACTTGCTATAAATTTATCTTTTCCAGAATTTCTGTTAATTAAACGGTTGTCTGGAAGAAATCGCTTTTAGCGATAAGACCGCCTGTTGTACAAATGTATCTGCTTGTTGACTGCTCTTAATGTTTATTGTGTTTTGGTGTGCAATAAAGTATGTTCTCTTTCTCTCTCTCTCTCTCTCTCCCTCTCACGCTATGTTTTCCACCCGTATTTTCCTTGTTATGTAAGTGGCACTTGTTGAGGAATACGTTAATAGAGGACTTCATCTGATTTATTCAGTGCGGTTACGCATTTGTTTCTCGCTTATCTTTTAGAGTTTGCTCAATTGATCTTCGTTTACGATTTCTTCACACTTTCGTGACACCCATTTTGCGCATGTCACGATTCTTTATCGCCCCTTATTTTTTTTTTCTCTCGAGTATTCACATATTCATTGTTTACTGAAATAGTAACATTTAAATTTAATTAAGTCGATAAACTGCGGAGAATAAGTTGAGAAAATTTATATTATTATGTCTAATATAGCTAACTTAAAACATTATAATAAAAATCACTCTCAGACACAGCCCACTGAGTTTCTCGCCGGATCTTCTCAGTGGGTCGCGTTTCCGATCCGGTGGTAGATTCTGCGAAGCACTGCTCTTGCTAGGGCCAGTGTTAGCAACACCTACGGTTTGAGCCCCGATAGCTCACCTACACGCTAAAGTAACGCTGATATAGTCTGTCAAGACTATCAGCATAGGTAGGCTAAAAAAAAGCAGCCCACAAACATCCACTACTAGATGACCAATCTTGCGTGATCTTAAGCAGGTCTGTCCACTTTGTGGGAGGGGAAACCTCGTCTTCTGGTACACTGTCGCCTCTCGAGAAGGTTTTTTACCCCAGCGGTGATCTGTTCTACAAGAAATGTGCCCGCCCAGCTCACAGTCACGACGATATCCTTATCCCGATACCCTATCACGATATCCTTAATTCTCCTGAGAATCTCCTCATTCCTAACTAGATCTCCCTGGGAAACCTTGAGCTTAGTTCTTTCCATTGCTCTTTAAGTAACTTTTAGTCTTTCTAACAAGGCCCGTAATGCGTGCAACGTACTTTAAATTTTCCGTAGCGAAAATATCGTCGAACGTTAAATCTAAACTTAACTCTAGTGAAAGAACGAGTAAAAACTTTATGTTATTACAATGTTTATTCTGAAATCGATAGCTTTATACGATTGATAAAAATGTTTATCTTAGTATTAATAAATTTATGGTATTGCAAATGGGCTGACGGTGAATTCAATTCTCTGAAAAAGAAAACTGTAATGGATATAAATACATACAGTGCATCATAGGAGGGTGTTTGAATATTATTTCCACCTACAATAATAATTTTATTATACTGTTTTTTGTTGAAGTAAACAGTAAAATAATAGCTTGAAGTTAGTGTAATTTTACGGGTTTTTTCACAAAAGTGGTGTAACGCTTCGTTTATTTTTTTACACCTGTATGTACCGTAGGAACAATAGAAATTTGAAGTTGCTTAGGATTTAGTTGCTAGGTTAATTATGCGTACGTACAAATTTTATATAATTTTTCTTTTGTTTTTTATTTTTTTTTAGTTTTACCTATTTTTGTTATTTTATTTTTTGTTTTTATAGAGCTCCAGTACGGCGCGCTGCTCGAAGGGTGCGGGGGGGAACTTCCGTCGTTAAGTGCTTGTACCCCTCACCCCCCGCACCTCGACAAAGCGACGCGCCGCCAACAGAAAGACGCACGCGCCCAACATGACAAAATCGCACAAGTTAACATACATTTGCACGGTATTTGTTAATTATTTTATTTTCTTATTTTCTTTGATTTTCATTTTTTATTTATTTTCGTAACCCAAAACATCAAGATTATTGAAAACGGCCATCTATAAAATATGTTTAGTTAAACTATAATTCTTGTTTCAGCACTCTTCGCTGCTGTCGAGCATGGGTACTTGGACAAAGCCAGAAACATACTGGACTCGACTGACGTGGATGTCAATAGGTACGTAACCTTTTAAAACTTGTTTACACCTTATCCATTCCGTAACATACCTAATTAAACAAATTCAAAACACGATCACATTCCCAGTATGTGATTTAAAACTGTAATAAAAAAAAAAAATGATGTTAACACGCTCGTAAAGAATAATTTAAAGGATCAAATGATTAAAACGTAAATATGTCATTTGATATGAAAAATAACTATTGAGGTGTTGGTTTAAGTAAATATTATACATATGTATATTTGCTTAGAAAGAATAGAGAGCGAGGCCTCGCAAACCTTGTTTATGAAACTTTAAATAAACATCAAGCAAATTTAAATACAAGAGAATTGTAATAACGGTCGAATTGTGTGTAAAAAATATTGTTACGCGCTGGGGTTCGGGATAAATAAAATTCTACCGAAGTACAAATTATAAACTGTATTCAACACTTAGAACACTTAAAACACTCAACAAACACTTTTAAACTCTCAATTCGCTTCTTCCGCTTCGCTTCAGGCTATCCGTTCGCTGTTTCGCTTCGAGTAGTTCCGATTACTAACTGACTGCGTGCGATCTCTGCAACGCTTTTATAGCCAATCCCACATCCCTAGAATTATCGAGAATATTCCACAAAAGTCGAGTATTGTTTGTTTCCGCTATCTGACAATGATGACTTCTCGAACGTTCTAGTTGCTACTAGATACTTCGACATTCGTTCGGCTATTCGGCGATGGCGTTACTCTTATCGGTGTAACGTCTGTTGCTTATTAGGCTGTAGGATAGCATATCAGTTGATATTTAGTATCCGTCTAGACTAGTTCCTTTTTTTTTGTGGTTGTCATAGAAAGCGAGTAAGGGTTTAATCGTAGAATGTGTAACAGCATAACCTTAGGATCCCATAGGCTTGTTTGAGGCATCTTTGTCTTTATGGAATACTTCTCAGATTTCGACCCCAAATCTCAAAGTGGACGGTGGGATGTAGGTCGTCATATTTTGAGCTCCTTCAACCATTTAACGCCAGGTGAAATGAGAGCTCTTATCGAGCTTGCCTAGGCTCGGTTCTTGAAGAGATGGTGTACCTTTTCGTGTACCTTCGTGTGTTTATTGTCGATGTTTTCGTCACCGCTCCGATGAACGCTGAGTTCGTCACATACACAAAAGAAATGAAAGCTACATGATATGAAACTAGATTTCTATAACTAGGGCATTTGCGTCTTATTCTGTCTTACCTGCCTTACTTCTATTTGTACTAGTCTCTCACTGGCCACCTATGTATGTTCACCTATGTGCGTAATTAAAAAATGATAACACCAATAACAACTAAAAGAAATTAAAATCTTTAAGCACACCGGCGTCTGTTGCGTTATTAACTAGCGATGCGTTCGAATCCCGCAGGCGGGTACCAATTTTTCTACTGAAATACGTACTTAACAGATGTTCACGATTGATTTCCATGGTGAAGGAATAACATTGTGTAATGAAAATCAAGCCCACAAAATTATAATTTGTGTTATTACTGGTGGCAGGACATCTTGAGTCCGTACGGGTAGGTACCACCACTCTGCCTATTTCTGCCGTGAAGCAGTAATTTGTTTTGTTTTGTTTTGAAGGGTGGGCAGCCGTTGTACCAGTGGTGCAATATTTCACCCATTTAATGCAATAAAAAGGCCTGGGCAATACTATTCATAGCCATACCCTAATAAAGAGATAAGTTCTAATTTCGATATCGATATCCAAAACTGTGTCCATGTTTCAGTCTCAATGCGGACGGCCTCTCACCGTTGGACGTTGCAGTGCTCTCAAACAACCGACCACTTGCCAAGATGCTCATGGAATTCGGTGCTAAAGAAGGAACGCAACGTAAGTATCCTTATTCTGTTCCCACGTGGCGAGGTCGGTACAAAATCAGATTTTATGCCCGGGATTAACGAACCAGGACAGGAATCAATGGGAGAGTGAAAAAAGTGATGATATTACGACTGGCGAGTAAATAATCATGGCGCCACTTTATTAGGTACAGCGCTCGTTTTCTTTACTCCACTTTGCATCTCATATCCGATTAATTAGACGAATAATTTCAAAATACGCTATAATATAATAGTATATAGCTCACAGCACAACAATATCGCTCCATACATTGTTATGGACACTTCACACTTACTGTACTCTATATTATTGGCTAAGAATACGCTGCTATACTATATGGCACTATAGTATAGCGTAGTCTGAAAGTAGCTTAAGGTTTGCGAGATCTGGGCGAAATCAAAATCGTTAGTAGCCTACGGGGCTATGCCAGCTACTCTCGGACTGGTAGGTCTGCTCACGGGCTTAGCCTAAGAGAATTTGCTAACACTAGCCTTAGTAAGAGCAGCGCTTCGCTGAATCTACCACCAGATCGAAATCGCGACTCACTGAGAAGATCCAGCGAGAAACTCAGTGGATTGTGTCTGTGAGCTAGTCATTCATTACATACCACGATGCTTCGACGGCTATCTTGCAGAAACACGACTTGGTGACTTGGAGAGAGTTTGTGTGTAAGGACACTGCATGACAAATTTTCAAACAGGTCTTACACCTGAGCAGAATTAGGCAAAATGCAACTACCTACAACTTACAACCAGGAAATACTGGCTGGCTATTGCAGCACGCTGGTATAATACTTAAAGAGAATTGCTGATCATTCTCCAGTGAGGCCGCTTTTTAAGACACCCACGGGAAGAAGTATGGTGGTGTATTCTAAACCAGACAGCCGCTATGTACTGATTATAATACTTAGAGAGAATTGCTGATCATTCTCCGGTGATGCCGCTTTTTAGGACACCCGCGGGAAGAGATGTGGTGGTGTATTCTAAACCAGACAGCCGCTATGTACTGAATAATACTTAGAGAGCATTGCTGCTCATTCTCCGGTGAGGCCGCTTTTTAAGACACCCACGGGAAGAGGTGTGGTGGTGTATTCTAAACCAGATAGCCGCTATGTACTGATTGTTAAACTTAGAGAGCATTGCTGCTCATTCTCCGGTGAGGCCGCTTTTTATGACACCCACGGGAAGAGTTGTGGTGGTGTAATCTAAACCAGACAGCCGCTATGTACTGATTATAATACTTAGAGAGCATTGCTGCTCATTCTCCGTTGAGGCCGCTTTTTAGGACACCCACGGGAAGAGTTGTGGTGGTGTATTCTAAACCAGACAGCCGCATACTGGTAACGCAGAAGCAATAGTTCGACTGACCGATATGACACATTTTATTTAAAGCTATCTGCCTCCGTTGTCTAAATACTTACATAAATGATAATTTTCCCGTATTTTGTCGGGACAAATGTAAACTTTTCGCGTTTGCCGCACCTGTTACAAGCCCGTTACCGTAACTCTGTTTATTTTGATGAATCTCACTCGAGGAACGCCTGCTGTCTTTCCTTTTGATTAAAAGATATGTTCGTAAATGACAAAAGATTATTTTTTCGACACATTCTTGTCTGAAATTTTCATTGTAATAGTAGCAATCCTGCCAGTGGATATAAAAGTCAAATTTTTTCACGCCAATCATGGGTAAAAGGGCGGTTCTTACATAAACGGCTCACTGTACATCCTGCTATGGTAGCACAATTTACTGGTAGTAAATTATATTATATAATATAATATTTAAATGTGAAAACGATTCACCAATGTACCCAACGAAGTATGTACTCTACTCTATAATTGATTACAATCAAATTACGCCGAACAAAAATTGAAAAACGTCTTGTACGTAAACACAACTTTACTGATATTATTTTACTGGGGGTAGGATCTCTTGTGAGTCCGCATGGGTAGGTACAACCACCACCACTACCAGTAATGCGTTTCGGTTTGAAGGATAGGGTAGCCATTGTAACTATACCTATACTGAGATCTTAGAACTCAATACTCAAGGTGCGTGGTGACATTTACATTGTAGATGTCTATGGGCTCCGGTAACCACTTAAAACCTGTGTGGTAGGCTGTGAGCTCGTCAATCAACTCAGCAATAAAAAAAAAAACAAAAAAAAAATTTGATTGTTTTTAATTTAGTGCTTTTCATTCGAGGTTCTCAAATTATTTACCCTACCTATATCACTCTCACTACTTATATGAATTTAATAAAAGCTCATATTATTATATTATGTTATATATATAGAATTTTCCAAATAATGCAACATACATAAATATATAAGTTCAATAAACATTACGCATCCTCGGCAATCAGTATAAATGACACATGATGATGCTTATCTATGATTCATTGATGTATGAAATTTTTCTTTAAAAGTCAATAATTCCACAATACCCGCTAAACTCGAAGGGATGAACAATGCGAAAAGGCAGTTTAAGAAGTCGTCGTGGCCTAAAGGATACGACGTCCGGTGCATTCGTGTGTAGCGATGCACCGGTGTTCGAATCCCGCAAGCGGGTACCAATTTTTCTAATGAAATACGTACTCAACAAATGTTCACGATTGACTTCCACGGTGAAGGAATAACATCGTGTAATAAAAATTAAACCCGCAAAATTATAATTTGCGTAATCACTGGTGGTAGGACCTCTTGGGAGTCCGCACGGGTAGGTACCACCACCCCGCCTATTCCCGCCGTGAAGCAGTAATGCGTTTCGGTTCGAAGGGTGGGGCAGCCGTTGTAACTATACTGAGACCTTAGAACTTATATCTCAAGGTGGGTGGCGCATTTATGTTGTAGATGTCTATGGGCTCCAGTAACCACTTAATACCAGGTGGGCTGTGAGATCGTCCACCCATCTAAGCAATAAAAAAAAAAGGCACGGACTAGTAGAAAACAAATACAATATTATAAAATTTGATTTGTTTATTCCATTGAGAGATTATGTTTGTGAGTCAGTAAACGTTACGAAAGTAAGGATGCGATAAAGAACAAAAAGCGAAGTCAGATTTTACGAAATCAATCTTAATCGATAGTTTATCTAATCGATCGTTTCGCTTCCCGCTATCTGAGAGGTGTGATGTGTTGTTGGAGAAGTTTATCGCCATAACGGAGCGTGTCGACGGCGTGTTCCAATGTCAAGATATAGCGGGAAATAAGAAACAGTAGTTTTTTGTTAGACGCAGATCAATGATAAGATAGGTGATGTGCATATCGAGGGGTGAAAAGGCTATTTGGTTTAAGCAAATCGCTTAATACGCTACATTTATCTTTGTAATTAACAGTCTATTTTATTTGGTATTAACAATTTTTTTTATTGCTTAGATGGATGGACGAGCTAACAGCCAACCTAAAGTTTAATTGTTACCTGAGCCCATAGACATCTACACCGTAAATGCGCTACTAAGGTCTCAGTATAGTTACAACGGCTGCCCCAACCTTCAAACCGAAACGCATTACTGCTTCACGGCAGAAATAGGTGAGATGATAGTACCTACCCGTGCGGACTCACAAGAGATCCAGCCACCAGTAACATCAACAATTCGATGTTTTTAATTGTACTTCAATTAAGCTTACTCCATTTAAATAGCGGAACAAGTTTTTTTGTTATAATATTTTTTCCTAATTTTAAACTTTAAATGGCTCTCCTGAAACTTCGCAAGAAATACGCTTAAACCAAATATAATTTCACATAGCGATATATAAATTTCGCTCTTCTGACGATTAACACAAAATAAACGTGTTTTGGGTAAATTTAATATGAACGAATTGGATAATCGGAATAAAGAAGCTAATCGAATTTCTCAGGTCACTTTCTTTTTTAATTTCCGGTGTTTTAGTTCGTCATTAATTAATTAAGTCATAATTAAGTATGATAACAGGCAGTAGCAATATAAATGTCCTTGACAGGGTTAGTATTCAAGAGTTACGGTAACCATTTAAGATCACGTGCTAAAGTCTCCTTTCTTTATAAGCTACTAGCTGATCCTACAGACTTCGTAGCGCCTCAATCGATAAATAAAAGACCTAAACTTTTGTATAAAATAAACTTAAAGCAAACAAAAGAAATTCGTGCGACGTGGGACACATCAAAGGAAAAACAAAATTGTTTGTTTTTATACAATTCCGAGCATTTTCATATTTTTTCACCTTTTAAACCTTCTCTGGACTTCCACGAACAATTCAAGACCAACATTAGCCGAATCGGTCCAATAATTTTTTTTTAGCGAGACTAGCGAACAGCAATTCATTTTTATATATAGATATAATTTTTATCCTGTTAGGGAAAAGGGGAATTTTTACAATCTGACCATGCCTAAAATTACAAATTATTCGTACTATGTAACGTTTAGTTTTTATTGTAATTAATACAGGAAAACTGCAGAGTAATCATAATTACTAAATAGATACTAAAACTAAATTTATGGGCTATAGGAATACGCGACTGGCTTAAACCGCTATCGATTGTAAATTGAATCTTAAGCGCTTATTCGTTCGCTTGATTAGTTTTAACAATCGATTTCCGAAATTGTTCGAGCAGAATCGAGTTTAAATGGCCATTGTATTTACTCGTTGTTCTCGATTTCATTAATACATTAGGTACCTCTAAATGTATCGGTTGATAATTAATCAAAGTTTGACGAAATTTTCAAGTTAGCTAAATTCTAGAGCTTTTTTTTTGTTTATCTACCTATGCTGATAGCCCTAAGAAGCTATTTCAGCGTAACCTTAACTAGTAGGTGGGCTCACGGGGCTCAAACCTGACGACGTTGCTAACACGAACCCTAGCAAGAGCCATGCTTCGCAGAATCACCCACTAGATCGGAAACGCGACCCACTGAGAAAATCTGGCGAGAAACTCAGTGGGCTGTGTCTGTGGGTTAATTTACTGGCCGAACCCTCCGTCGCAAGCGACGGGTTCGACGAGAACGATACCTAAAAGCAC